TCTAGGTCACTATTAAAATATAATTACTACTGGTCAAAAAAGAAAAGAACCTTAATTTAGTTGTTAAAATAAGTCCAGAAGGGTAGCCATTTCAGTCAGTTGTAGCAAAAGCAACACAAAAAGTGTCTTGTGGTACCATAAAGCCCACTGCATTTAGTGCAGTGTAAACTTTTATGGACTTAGAATTCACTTCATCAGGTATATTATATGTTACACCGTATATACCTGCCAACACAGGATAATGTTCCACAAAACTGATGAGGTCAGATCTCATCTAGGAAATCTGTAATAAATGTCTTGGTCTTTAAGGCACCACAAGATTTTTTGTTTCTTAAAATGAAAATGCTGTTAGCTTGTGAGAAAAAAATTGCAGGGGTGTTATCACCTGCCATGATGACCTTTATAATCTCAGAAGAGAGCTCAATGGCATCAAACATAGAATATAGAGAGAGCCACCCATCTATGGATGGGTTTGCCTTTGCTGCCCCTGTCTTTCTCACACGCATGCACACACACACACGCACACATGTTCGCACAAGTGTAACACTCTGTCCGAACCTATTCAGAGCCTAAATCTAGAAGCAATGATTATTTATTAACAGATTCCAGCTCCAGAGTACAGCATCCTCCTAGATGCCCCCAGTACAAGCACATATCGTGAGAAAGAACTGCTTTGACTCATCAGACGCCTCTGTCTATACCAGCCTGCATTCATGACTTTCGTGAAGCATGAGCATAATCTGAATCCCACTGGACAAAAGTCTTATTCAATAAAGCTTCAAGAATAAGGGAAAGCATGAAGACCAGAACTCCCACAGGTGAAGCTATGTTAGTCTGTGCTTGCAAAAACAACAACAAAAACTTTCAGTGCCTAAAAAGCTAACTATTTTTAAAATGTTGTAAATCTTAATGGATGAGAGTCTCCTCTTCATCAGATGCATGAAGTGTTATCCTCAGTTGGCAGGTATACAAACACATGGGAAGGGAATGTAAAATATGGGTCTAAATAGTAATGAAATGCAAATATTCATTTGGAGCATATGCAAAAAAAAGCAGTGACCATTCACTGATCGTACAGCAATAATTGGTGACAATGTGTCTTGTCCACATTGCTAAATAAATTAAAATCTGTTGTGTTGAATTCATTCTCAGGTCACATCCAGGCTTGCAACGGCACCACATACCTGCCAAGACCTGCAGCAGCAAGGGAACGAGCCCCATAGCAACCTTATTGCTGCTGGTCCTCAAGCTCAGCCAAGACAATCTAATTTGATAGTGCATGATAAATATTATTGCTGGCATCCGTCTGTTTTGGGAGACAATGGATTAGTGTGTCTTTGTGGGTAAAGTAAAACCGTTGGAGAATTACAGCGCTTGTAATGGCTGTAGAGACCAATAGGGGAGAGATAAGTTTTGTTGCAGTTGGGGCGGATGAAGGCGTCCGGTTGTTCTGCTACTGATGTAGCATGGCAATTCTTGTCTCTGTGTTCCTCCCAGGGGTCATTCCTCTGGTCACTGCTATGGATATGCAACCCGACTGTCACCAGGTACTGCGGTCATCTGCAAGGGATTCCCACACAACAGGGTTGCTGCTGCCAGCTTACATGTCTCATTTGCAGACAGCTTTGTAATGCAGAGTTACTCTGCCAACAGGCCCGGTGCCTGAAGCTAGCTCCCTGTCCTTGGGGATCCTGCTGTCTTTCATTCTGTGGACATGACCAAACCTCCGTAGATGTTGCTGAGACAGGAGTGTGAATGTGGGCTTGGAAGAGCACATCTTTGAGACTCTGTCCTGCCATGTGATGCCCAAAATCTTCCTGATGCAATGCATGTGTGTGGAGGTAATGCTCCGCTTATGCTGAAGCACACCTCACACCTGGCATGCAACAGTGTGCCAAGGAGCATTGCGCCCACTCTCCCTGAACTCTCGCCTCTTAGCCAGAAGACAGGGTTTTCCCCAGACCTTTTGGAGATGTGGAGGTAACGCTCCACTTGTGCTGAGGCACACCTCGCACCCGGCTTGCGCCCACGCTCCCTGAATTTCTGCCTCTTGGCTAGAAAACAGGGTTTCCCCCCTGACCGTTTGTCCTCTCACAGATTTGGTTACTGGACATAACGCTTGGCTGGAGCATGACCGGGGACACAGATGTAATCAAGTATCGGGAAACATTTTAGGGAAACACCTGCTGACACGTGTATTTGATAATGCTGGAAATGTGCTTGGATGGAAATACGTCATGTTCAGAGTGGTTTCACTACTGTTTCCAATCGTTGACTTCTGCTAATAAAAGGAGTCTCTGTGGAACTAGCCGGCAGCCTGCTTGGAGCATGCTTGCCAGCTTGCTCCTGCACAGCTCACCTGCGTCCAACCTCCTGTCGTCCTCGTTATTCCTACAATGTGGAAGGTGTTAAGGCATTGCTCCTGGCAGTTGTAAGGTGCCTATGACTCACTTCCATAAAGCAGTGTGTTCAACCTGCAGGCTGGCAGACCTTCATCTTGGCATTGGTCGTTAGCAGCACATTCTCCCATACCCTTTTGGAAAGGTGAGCCATTGCCATAACTGCCTTGCCAATATGCTTTCCCAGTGCAGCGTTGATGGAGAAGTTGCTGGTTATGGTGGAATCCAGGTAGACAAAACCACCTACCACTTCAAGTGTGTTGTCACCAATGCTGATGCGTGGAGTGCTGCTGACATCCCAGCTCAGGATGTTGGTCTTCATCAGGCTGGTGATAAGGCCAAACTCCCTGTAGGCTTGGGGAAAACACCTGATGATTCTTTGTAGAGATTCCTTGGAGTGTGCTGTCAAGGTTGTGCCATCTGTAGACAGCACCTCTTGGATAAGGACACACTCCACATTTTTCTTGGTGTGGAGATATTCCAGGTTGACCGGACCCCAATGATAAATATGTGCAGTAATTTTAAAACATGGCCATCTGCTTGTAAGGTCAGGGTGTACATGGAACGCAGCATGAGATTAACATCTGTGTCAAGTGCAAGAGCACAGCAGAAATGAGTGCTCAAGAGAACACCTCTACCATCTAGTGATGGCAGTTGTATAAACTCAAATATTCTTAGACAGAGTCTTCTGCCTTTGCTTCCATTTGAAGTATTTTTTCTAGTTTGATTAAAGTCTTTCTAAAAGTCAGTTGAGGATAAAGAGTGTGTATGCATGCATATTCTTCTCTGGTGGCATGTCTGAGACCATTTACAAGCATTAGTGAATTAAGTTCTACCTTACTTCCTACCTAGTGAATTATTCACCTGTTATACAGATGGTAAAGACACCTTTGGATAAACAAATCTTTATAGTAAGTCAAGAAGCACTGGGGATAGATCTTCTAAAAGTTCATTCAGCATCATTTCATTGGTAGCAAATACTTTTCCATGATAGCTTTCACATTGTCACATTTGTCAGCACCTCTGGTTTTCTTACCTTCACACCTTGAGCCATCTCAGGTAGATCTTTGGCACCACCGAACTTCAGAGCAAACATAACAGTTTTCGATTGAGACAGTTCCTACATTTAAAGGCTGAGTCAAACGTTAAGTAATATCGTGATGCAAATGCTATATATCTCTACATCTCTATCTGTCTATCATCTATGTATTTCCTGCCCTTCCTCCTGAAGGAGCTCAGGGCAGCAAACACATCCACAATAATAATGAAAAGCATTCTAAAACAGTTAACAACTTCCAAAACAGGTTCAAGTTAAAAACATTCTAAAAATAGTTACAGTTAAAAGCCTACTTTGTACATATATGCAACTTCCACAGTAACAGTAAAAGTTCATTGCATGCTAAAAAAGCACCACAGATATCACTAGCAATAATTCTCATGTATGTGATTATGTGTAAATACAAAAAGACAGCAGTGGGCTAATCAGTTATGTAACTTTATAAGATGCAAGCTGAAGTTGCTGACAGTAATAAGGCTGGCGCATGATGTACTGTGTAGCTTTGAAATAATGAGTCATCATCACCCACATGTCTCCAGAGACATTATTTGGAGCAGAGCAATGACACTGGTTTCAATTATAAGCTTACTAGAAGGCAGTGGTAAAATGTAATTATGGGGCGCTGAAGTCATTAGACTGAAGACTGTGGATGGAAACTCCCAGGAAAGCAGAGAATTAGGTTTTTCCAATTAGAAACTTTAGTGTTTTAGGAATTTCCACTCCCCCTTCTTTCAGTAGTCCAGAGCATTTTGTTGGGATACATCTGTCTTGAGAGACAAAGGAGTACTCCTCTGGGATTGAAGTCAAACTGCATTTGCAGCCCCAAACTGACCTCCCCAAGGCACAAGCTTGGATAGTGTATATGGGAGGTCCTGAGCTGCCCAGACAACAAGAACCCTCTCTTGGCCTCGCTGATGTGGCCCAGTTCTATGGATGGACTTCATCAGCAGCATACATATGATCCCCTCCTTCACATTTTTTCAGGACATGCTGACACTATTTTTCTGTTCTGGTTTGTATTTAGATAACATTTTTGTGTTATGAAACATGTGTGTGCTTCTATAAATTTAATGTCAGTATTTTTAATGTTCATGTTTTAGGCTTTTTTATTTTAAGCCACCTGATGGTGATATTGTTGATGATGATGATAAAAATAACAATGCACTTCTTTGTAATTCACAATCTTGCATTTGATTCAACAGAACTTGATTTGGTAAAATACTTCCTTATTTCTGGCATGCATCATATTTGTTTTCAACTATCTTGATTTACTTGCTTTTATGTTACCAAGATAATGCCATTTCTAAAGACTGGTCATTCATTCTTCTTTTTCTCCATCCTTCTGTCAACCAAATTAAGGTTCAGCCGGTGCTATTCCTTCAGCTCTTCTCTTCTCTGCCTGCTCCCTTTTAGCATGGTTCCTTGTAACACCTGAGATGTTGGTGAAGTGTTCCTAGAACCGTTAAATATGTTGCTGCAGTCTAAATCTCTATAGTCAGTCACGTGCTTTGCAAGAATAATATCCATTGTCTCTTGCTTTCCAGATTGAAGATGTCATTACAAGAATGCAAGATGACAAAACAGGTGGTGTGCCCATCCGAACAGTCAAGAGCTTTCTGTCAAAAATCCCCAGTGTTGTCACAGGTATGTATGCTGTTTGAATTGTAACACATTGCCATTCAGTTTGTTTCAAATCATAATAGTAGGAAGAAATAGGAAGTCAGAGCACTGGACCATCTTAACTCAGTACAATCCACGATAACGGTGGCTGATTTGTGGCCCTACCCATGTGGTTCGACTACAATTCCCATCATCCCTGACCATTGGCCATGCCAGGAGTTGGAGTGCATCAACATCTGGAAGGACAGAGCTTAACTACACTGACTGGCAGTGGCTCTCTAGGGTTGCAGACAGGAGTCTTCTTCAACCTGGAGATGCCAAGGATTGGTGTGTAAATTGAAGCTCCCTCATGGCAACCCAGGTGCTGGATTTTGCTATCCAGCCATGCAGGCAACCTAAGAGACATGCGTTCTTCTCAGTACTACTATGATAATGAAGATTTTCAGTTCTCCTGGGACTTTCAAGCTCATCTGCAATCTCCAAATACTAAGTGCATAATGTAGGCCAGGGTCAACCAAAGTGGACATCAGTCCCAGGCAGCATGGCCAATGGCCAAGGATTATTGGAGGATTATATGTTCAACAACATCTGGAGGGCACTTGTTGACTATCATTGATGTAGCTATGTATACAGAGTATGAGGGCATGAAATTCATGTTGACAAACTTTGTATCTGAATGCCCTTTAGTTAAAAAAAGCAAGTGATTCATCTCTTTTGAGAATGTATCCCATCAGCTCAAGTGAGAAAGACACAAGTCAAGATGACTTAATGTATATTTAGCTAAGAAAAGGGATTGCTTATCTTCTTGTTTAATATTCATGGGCTTTATTTAAGCATTGGAGCTAGCCATCACTGTTCCTTAGGAGGACCAGGAAGGAAAAAGAAGACAATCATTTCTAAGCTGATTATACTTATCCTTATGCAGGATCAGGCTTCCTGAAAATGGGTCTTTTGCATTCCTAGGAATAGCTGCAGTAAGGATTTTCTTGGCATTAAAAATGCTATCACAACCTGTTTGTTCTATAGGGTCAAGATAATTCCCGACAGCACAGTTGATATGCTGCACTGCATTTTGTACTGGCGAAACTGTGATTCTTCCCCATATATTGTTAGGTGGGAATTTTAGACTTTGGGCTTAAGGGTCTTAAAAGGGCCTTTCTCCAACTTTAGACGTGTAATGTGTACTATTAGTCCACTTACTTCGAAATTTGATAAGCCAACCCTTGTGCATTTGGGGGGCCTCCTCCTCATTCTACTGAGACATTTACCTCAAAGTCCTATCTGAGTAAGTCAGTGTTGAGCCCATAGGTTGACACTGGTTGCTGTGTGGAAAGCAGTGTCACTGGCACCTATTGTCTACATTGTGAGGTGACCAACAAACATAAATAATAAATACTCTGTGAGTTAGGCTGCTGTCAAAGACTTAAAAGCAAGACTTCTAAAAAAATTGGTAGCCCTACTTGACGTTCCTCGCTTGTAAATCCCATCATCTCTGACCATGGGCAATGGTGGCTGGGTCTGATGATAACTGAAGTCCAACACCACCTGGAAGGTCACAGATTGACCACCTTTAGTTGGCAGTAGAGAAGAGCGGTCCATGTAGCTAAGGGAAGGATTTGTGAAGGAGAGATTCATAGAATCCTGCCATTTACCATCTTGCTGTCTTTGCCCTGACCTTCACTTAAGCAAACAGTATGCTTTCTTTCTAGAATCTAACCCCAGCCTATTACACCTCCTTCAAATAAAATGTATGTAGAGGAGCTGCTGTGCCCATGAGTCAAAACATGACTGTGATGGTGGTGACTAAATGAGTTCCTATATATAGTGGCAGAAAGGAAATGAGAAAGCAGACTGTGGTATCTCATCCAAGATCAATTGTAATAGCTCAAGATGCTCATGTAACCCCTTAGAGTGTGTAATCTTAAAATTCATGGGACTTCCTTTCTCAACAGCACACTCTGGTGTAGAAGTAAACATGATGAATATTTATGTATACTTTCCCTAAATGCTCTCTGTACTTCACATAAATTGTCTCACTAGCAGGCCAAAATGATTGTTTCGGAATATAGCGAAGGGGCTGAGACTGAAAGATTGCAGCTTGCTTAAGGCCAATCAGTGGCCTGTTGGCTTTGGAGCTGATATCCAGCTCATTAAATAATGGTGTCTGCACTTGGAACCGGTGGTCTAATTGCTGCCTACAAAGCAGGATTTGAAATCAGATTAGACCAAGATTTCCAAGTGAAAGCGGAAGCTGGCTGCATGAAGGGAGGGCCAGGGAGGGAGCATACAGCACACAGCTCAGTCTCACAGCCATAGTTCAGGGTGTACCAGCCTGAGATTGTTACATCTCAAACAAGCCAGTGAGTTCATGGCTGGATGGAGATTTGAACCAAGTCTATCCCCCCTTTTTATTATTAAGTAACAAATACTACATAAAAATGAACATAAAAGCAAAGACCAGAGAGGTACAAGCTGGAGGTTTACAAATACTACATAAAAATGATCATAAAAGCAAAGACCACAGAGGTAGAAGCCAGAGGTTTACTAGCAGCATCTAGCAGTAATCCTAAAGTCTGTATTAATATTGGTTTTGCTTCTGCATCCCAAGTTCACCTATCATCCCTTCTGGACAATTCATAACTGTGATGTACAGATAGGCAGGTATTATTCAAGATTGATGACCAAGGCTTTCCATAATTTAGTTTTTCCTCCACAGTCGGAAAAAACAGGTTTGGAAAGGTATTGATAGTCCTTCTTTATATCTGCGAAGGTTATGAAGTCAGCTTATTTAAAGGTAAAGGGATCCCTGACCACTAGGTCCAGTCGTGGCCGACTGGGGTTTCGGCGCTCATCTTGCTTTATTGGCCGAGGGAGCCGGCGTACAGCTTCCGGGTCATGTGGCCAGCATGACTAAGCTGCTTCTAGCGAACCAGAGCAGCGCACGGAAACGCCGTTTGCCTTCCCGCCGGAGTGGTACCTATTTATCTACTTGCACTTTGACGTGCTTTCAAACTGCTAGGTTGGCAGGAGCTGGGACTGATCAACAGGAGCTCACCCCGTCACGGGGATTCGAACTGCCGACCTTCTGATCGGCAAGCCCTAGGCTCAGTGGTTTAACCCACAGCGCCACCCATGTCCCTCAGCTTATTTAACCAGGGACTCTTAACCACTGCACTTAGTGTGCAGATTTTGCTCATCTGCCTCAGGGCATTAAATACTGTGAAGGTTCTTTAGAAAGGATGTTTCCAGCACTTGGGGGGGGGGTAATAATAAAAAAGAGTACTCAAATATTGATGAAAAGGCTGTGGGTGCCAGTAAAAAATGGCTGCTATGGACCACAAAGAAAGAGGTGCTGGTGCTTTGTACCAGTGAGTACTATCACACACAAAAAGCACTGGATGCTTCTATATGTCAGATCAACATTTTAATTTTTAATGCTGCATACTCCCTTTTCACCTGCTTCTCAGTTGGAAGATCGCATTGGTCATTGTCATACTCATTTATACTGATCCTTCAGACTTCCCCATCCCCCTTTCCCCCTATTAGAGATTTCTTTTATCTTGTCTTCCTCTGTACTTTCAGGTCTCTGAGGCCTGCACACCAAAAGCTGAGGATGACTATGACACCTAGAAGAGATCAGACATAGCATACAGTGAATTAAAAATTCAGCATTTCCATTGTTCCATGGCAGTAGTGGGCTGTGATACAAATTAAGAAGTCACTACTTCAGCTTTTAAAACATTTAGAGGGAGGGGTAGGGTTTCATTTCTGAGTTTATGATTCTCTCTCAGTCAGAGGGAGGAAAGGAGAACCAAAAATAGAAGACGTGGATTGGGGGGAATGGGGAAATAGAAACTACCATTTTGATCCTTCAGTCAAACAAAGATAACCAGTTAGTTCTTGACTCTGCCAGATTATCCCCAATATTTAGAGAAGAAATAAAATGTAGAATAAAGACCTGTGTGACAGCTTTAGTCAGGTAGCACTTAATAATATTTTACTCTCAAATCAAATAGACCAATTCCTATTGGCAATAATGTTCAAGTTCTCCGGATATATTGCTGTCAGCATAGGAAACATACGTATTAAAAGGAAACTCAGAGCTTTTAAAGGAGCATCTCTCTGGAATGTTTCACATGGTAGGTAGGAAAACCAAGCCCTTTGCCTATTTGCATATGCTAATTATTACCCTTTATTTCAAAAATGCCAGCTAAGTGAGTGTAACAGAACATGTGAGTGGCTTGATCAAGATGTCCACAGAAATGGAGGGCAGGCTTAGTGCACTGATGTGACGATGTGGGGGGTGGACAAGAAGTATGGTCCACTCCTGCTTCAAACCAACATTGCCATATGTAAGAGTAATAATAATTTTATTGTGTATACCCCACCCATCTGGCTGGGTTGCCTCAACTACTTTGGGTGGGGCTTCAATACCTGGATGTGGTTCAAGCTGTGTGAATGCTAAGGTACAGAGGTAGGGAAACATACAGCACAATGTTATCAAGGCATAGAATGTTTTGGTAGGTTTTTCAGGGGAGAGGAGAACGTAATCAGGATATGCCTTTGTGTGTAAAGGTAAAGGTAAAGGGACCCCTGACCATTAGGTCCAGTCATGACCGACTCTGGGGTTGCGGCGCTCATCTTGCTTTATTGGCCGAGGGAGCCGGCGTACAGCTTCCGGGTCATGTGGCCAGCATGACTAAGCCACTTCTGGCGAACCAGAGCAGCGCACGGAAACGCTGTTTACCTTCCCGCCAGAGCGGTCCCTGTTTATCTACTTGCACTTTGACATGCTTTCGAACTGCTAGGTTGGCAGGAGCAGGGACCGAGCAACGGGAACTCACCCCATCACGGGGATTCAAACCGCCAACCTTCCGATCAGCAAGTCCTAGGCTCTGTGGTTTAACCAACAGCACCACCCACATATACCAGCAGCCAACTAGTCATTGCTTAGTATTCAGGCTGAGTTTAACTTCTGCCAGATGGTGAAAAACCAAATGCTTTCACTTAAAATGTCTTTTAAT